GCACAGTTAAATGAATGTGACATACAAAAAATTAACATACAAAGGGCCTGAAACCATGCTGACTTGAATTCAAGTTTTCTTTTGGATGACAAAATTTAGTTTTGGGGACAAATGTATCTTTCAGCTTATAAAGAGGACAGGTTTGAGGACATGATTCAGTTGAACTCCAAGGAAAGATCTATCGGAAATTTTGGATTAAGTTGCGAGACTACAATCATCGTATTTTGTCATCTAAGGATTCCCATTTGAAACAATAAATTTCATAAACACTCTAGGTGCGTGGAAGTGCTGAAGCAGGCTCTTCCTATTGTCCAGCTGATACTAAAAGTCCTTACCCTGAAAAACTCCTTGGTGGATCCAGAGTCCAGTGTTCCATATGCTATCTCCGTCTGCTTAGCCAGGTCTTCAGCACTCTCAATGGGAGACACCATCCTCTCCACCGTGAGGAAGGCAGCCAGGTTAGCAGTGTATGATGAGATAATGATCAGAGTGAAAAACCACCACACCCCACCAACTATACGTCCTGAAAGAGACCTGCCCACATAAACACATGAATCAAATTAAACTGTTCTAGGACTCATGACAAATTCATTCAATTACATCTTGAGGCACTTGTTGTTATGATTTGACACATTGTAGATTCTTACTGAAGGCATCAAAACTGTAAATGAACACACATGGAATTATGTAAAAAACAAAAAAGTGTGAAATAACTCAAACCATGTTTCATATTTAAGATTCTTTGTAACAGCCTTTGCTTTGATTACTGCTTTACACACTGTTGGCATTCTCTTGATGAGTTTCATGAGGTCGTCACTTGAAATGGTTTTCCAAGCATCCTGAAGGAGTTTCCAGAGATGCTGAGCACTTGTTGGCCTGTTTACCTTTACTCTGTGGTCCATTCCATCCCATCCCAAACCATCTCCTTTGGGTTTTAGGTCAGGTCTCCTTCTTGGTTCTAAAAGTTCTAAAAGTAATGATGGACTGATAATTCTCTTATCTGTCATTTCTACTTAGCTGATTGGTTCTTGCCATAATATGAATTTGAACAGCTGTCAAATAGAGCTGTCAGCTGTGTACCAACCTGACATCTGCTCAACACAACTGATGGTCCCAACTCCATTAAGAAGGCAAGGAATTCCACCACTGAACCCTGACAGGCACACCTGTGAGGTGAAACCATTTCAGGTGGCTACATCATGAAGCTCATTGAGAAAAGGCCAAAGGTTTTCAGCACTGTGAACAAAGCAAAGTGTGGCTACTTTCAGGAATCCAGAATACTGCTACATAATTCCATATATTTTGCTTCATATATTTGATGTCTTCAGTATGTATCTACAATGTATAAAGTAGTAAAAACAGAGAAACAACATTAAATGAGAAGGTGTGTCCAAACTTTTGACTGGTCATAAGTCATTGTAGATAAAGAAAATATTTTCAGCTGACAGGCTACAGTGACTTGCCCAACACAGCTAGCTACAGCAGCAATGCCATAGTGGCAACAGCCTCACCCAAACTGGACAGTTTAACAATGACCACATACATCTCTTCATGGCCATAGTTAACATTACAAACATGATGCTATACCAAGTCAGTGTAAAAATATTAGGGTTGAAATAGAACAGAACAATTGTAGCATGAACAGAGTTTCTAATGCACTTTTATCTCATCTCATTCAGTCTATGATAAGAACTGCGGCTGTTTTACAGCCCTTAATTAGTATTAATATTCAGTTCCTGATTAACGAGGCAGTGAATGTGTATTAATATAATATACTGAATACAACATCGGGAGCTAATACTGTATATGACTATGAAATGTCAAGGGCATACCAACCTTGGTGAGATGTCACAACCCTGTCGCATGAAAGCACCCAAAGAAAACCAAAGAGAATTAAAGATCCCAAACTCATTGGTGGATTCAGTGGTTAATGGCAAGGCTCCATCTTCTGGCTCCTCAAGCGTCCATTCATAAGGGCTGAACCTGGATACCTACAGCAGCAAAGCATTAGAATGTCAACAGAAATACACAAATTACATAGATTGTTATAACAGGGTTTTCTAAAAGTTTGCAAAAAAAGGCATTTCATTTTTTTCCACTGTTTCAAAGAGCCCAGCCAGAAAGTAGGTGCCTAGGCTGTGAAGAGGGGCTTCTGTCTAACTATACTGCCATAAAAAGATACAATTGCTTTTTAAGAAATGACACATTTTTAACTAAACTGCTCCTCTGTAGTGTACCTCCTTGTTGTTAAATCAGATTACATGTAATCAATTGATCATAAATATAAAATCTTGCTGAATCGAAGCAAGTTTCTAGTTTTCTATTAAATTAACCCTAAAGTTGAGGCAGGGAAGGTTGGGCTTCAAACTTGAACTACACTTTTTGAGACATAATAAATTAGTCTCAATAAGTGTCAGTAGGTATTATGACACTTATTTCAAACATAGTATTCATGCCTTCTCTTAACATAACCATATTAGGCACTGATACTTATGAAAACAGGATAGCACCTAAAAGAGGATTTCAACAAAGCATGCAAATTCATAATAGCAGGCTTACTTACCAGAAAGAGAACAACACTAACTCCTATGTAGGCAAAGACAATGCACATCCAGATTTCATAGGCCAGTGGGTCCAGAAAGGAGAAAACACCTGGTTTGGATTTTTGTGGCTTTTTAATCATGATGGAGATTCCCAAAGACATGAAGGGTTTGGAGAAATCTATCACCTCTTCACGGACAAGAGTGATTGTCAGGGGAGCAATAGCTATATCTGCTTTCTGTTGGAAAGTAGAGACACAGTGACAGGGACAATGTGATTGTTTCATGGACTTGGAAGAGCTGCTGCTACTACAGCGCTTTGGCAGTCGTTGTGATCACATAAGTGATTCTAGCCTACAAGCCACATTTAACTATACAATCATATAGTGTTTAATTCTACACACTGTAAGGACGTTCACCTAACTTTACATCCATATCTCTGGACTGCAGGAGGAAGTACCTGTAGAATACTGGAACATGCACCAAGACTACTTTAGATGCATGTACTTGCCTGAAACAATAGTTTCTATGATTTTTTTTTTTCTATGACTTTATGGTGATTTGTGTGATTAACAATTCAAGTACAGGTAAAATTTAAGATTATAATGGACCATGAGTTGCTAGAGCTCCAGATTTTTTCCTAGAGAACCAGCGAGAAGCACAGATCATTCCAGGCATAGCAGATGGCCCAGTCAGTGATTGAGGTCAAGGGTCATGCCGTTTGGGCTCCTGCTGGTCACCTCGAGAGGATTCCAGAACCACAGCAATAACCACGAAGGGGTTGGCGGAAATCCAGAAGGACCAGACTAAGAAGGCCAGAAGCCCTGACTTGGCTGAGTCAGAGAAACACCCAGACCTCAAAAAGGGGGCAGAATAATCCCCCGGTCTGTGGAAAAAGACCTCATGGTGGTCCACCCATGAGGTTAAAGTAAGAAGAGGAGAAGAGCCCAGAGAATTGCCCGTCCCAGAAGATTAGTTGTTTAAATGTAAAGAAGGTCAAAAGCCCTTTAGACAGAGTTTCTAGTTTGAGCACAAAGGTGGAAGCTGAAAAGTAATGGGAGGTCTGAGAGAGCTTTACTAATAGCTTGTGTGATTTTTATGTTATGTTAATTGCCCGAACACAGTGGTCATCCCACATTTGGTCCAGCCGTTAAAGGGGGACAGACTGTCCAGAGAGGGAAAGCGCGACAACTAAGAGAACTGACAGGTACTGGGTATAGAAATATCAACCTGGGGTTAGATTGACTAATTCAAAATATAAAGGAACAAAAGGTGTCAGACTGTGTGGCGTGCGTAGCCATCCGCCCACACCTGTTCACCGAACCTGGCCCTGTGTATTCAAATGACACGCGGGGATTTGGTTGTGTGCTTAAAATAACCAGAAGTGCAATTCCACCAATTGATAATAAAACTACTCCGGGACCTTTTACCCGAAGAAACGCTAACTATACCTGTTTTGATTTTACAGTGAGCAGCAAGGGAAGTCAGACGTATGACGTAGGAGAGATCCCAGCGGACTGGTGTACGGTGGTGTATCCAGCCCAAGGGAATGCCTCCAGGGGAAAACATGACATAAATTGACCCGTGGGAAAGAGCGGGTTTGTACTATTATACTGGGTGAAAAGGGGATAAGGGTCTCAGGAAACAGGGCAGCTCACAGCAAAGTGTAGATGCAAGGTGCTGTTCTGGACGTACACTTACTTGTTTGACTTATTTGTGGGGTTTTTAACATATATGGATGCAATAGGGGTGCCTAGGGGAGTAGCAGCATCAGAAGTATGGTGACCTTCTTTCGAAGGTCAAAAGGGGGAATTGTTGAAAATATATCATGAAGCAGTATTTCAGCAGAGGCCATATTAACCCAGCCGCTAATAAAATGTGCTAGATCATAGGGTATTACCAGAAGTGCTTTGATTGTAATTGCATACGTGCTTGCACTGCGACAGTCAGAACAGGATGGACTCAGGATGTGTCATTTACTATTATAAATGACACATCCTCATAATGAGAACAACAGGAAACAGGTGGGGGTGAAAGGCAGTTAAGATAGATTTCTGAGTAATTGTAGAAGATCACCAAAAAAGGAATCGTGTCTAGCTGTCACAAACTGTAACTGATGCATGTTATGTTATCTGCTTACGCACAAAGGGGCGTGAACCCTGACATATAAAACTGTGTATCAAAGTGCTTCCTCTTTGAGAACTACACGGAAGGTGGTATTGTGTATATCTCCCTTGCATGCAAGCTAAATAAATAATTGTGGCTTGACTAGACCTGCTCTGAGTATTGGTTGTTTCTTCTCAGCCCATCATCAAAGAATTCGGGACACCTTCATGACCCAATAGCCTACTTTGAATGGAGGGAGAGCAGGGAATTACTAAGCTGGAGAGAGTGGGGTTGAAAAGCCTCCCTCCACTGTTTTCACAAATAAGAAGTGTCATGCGCTGGCAAAACTGTCTGTTGGTCTGGGTCCTTGTTACAAAAGATAAGAATATAGTGTGAACAGGAACAAAACTATAAATCTGGGAGATGAAGCTGCAATAAACCCCATCCTCTCCATTTTATCTATAAAATGGGGGATTGGATGGTATTAAATGGTTATTTGAGTCTCATCCAAGAATCTCATGTAATGGATTTGTCAAAAAATACGTTGTAACTCACTAAATTACTAAAGTTATTACACAGTGTTAGAGATGAAACCCCAACAATCAGCTAATCTTATATGAGGAAATTTTCTGAACTTGTGCTACATAAAGCTTAATTTTCCAGATTTTTCAGACTGCCTCCTCTAACTTAAATGATCGCAGTGTTTGGTCAATTACTCAGATCTTTAATGAATGTTATTAATTACTATTAATAACACTTTATTATTTTAATCTAATTAAAAGTAAAGAAAAGTTCAAGTTTAAAGTGTTATTCACACTGCAGGGCGTGCAGGTAAAACCACCATAAAGAAATATGCAGCTGCAGTTGGTGGATGTCCACAAATTTCCAGGCATTTGGTTAAATGTGCTCATGCAATTCTAAGAGAGAGGTTCAGCAGAGATAAAATCTAGTACTTAACAATTTCTATTCCATGTCTTAAGTAATATTTATAAACTTTGCTTTCAACATGGTTTTCACACACCATTTTTGTTTTGCACTACCACCAATATTTAAATAAATAAAACATTCTGTTGTTTATTGTGCCTGTGTAAAGTCTTACCCCATATACCAGCTCTCCAACCATACCATTCCAGATTTTGGTTTCAGCATCTCTTGCTCCATATTTGCCATCTCCCACAATCCTTAGCTGGTAGCGTATCCCACAGTGCTTTGCAATCTCCGCAGCCAGGTCGACACAGTAACCTTGCATCAGTACAAACAGCCAAACAACAAAGTCGCTTATATGAGATACAAGAGTAGTGTGTAATTGAATATCACATATCTTCATATCAAATTTACTCTAAATTAACGGCACCTTATGTGTCTTGAAAAAGTTTTAAAAGTAAGGAAAAACATATGCTATTGTGGTATCATAGAGCTATCTACGGGGCGACTGTGGCTCAGGCGCTTGGGAAGCGTATCTGTAACCGGAAGGTCGCCGGTTCGATCCCCGGGCTCTCTCTCCTGGTCGTTGTGCCCTTGGGCAAGACACTTCACCTACCGCCTACTGGTGTTGGCCAGAGGGGCCGATGGCGCGATATGGCAGCCTCGTGGCTGTGGCTACAACTGTAGATGCCTCCACCAGTGTGTGAATGCGAGAGTGAATGAATAGTGGCATTATAAAGCACTTTGGGTGCCTTGAAAAGCGCTATATAAATCCAATCCATTATTATTATTATTATCTTCATGGCACATACTTCAAAGAACAAATTATTTTCATTAATACTTCAAGTAGAGGAATGAATCATGAAAGGTTTTATATGCAGAATGCTATACACACTGGTTGCCACTCACATGGTGCTACTTTAAATGGTGGCAGTAGCATTTGTGTGTAATCTATAAATCCAATCCAACTTTATTTATATAGCACTTTAAAAAAACAAAGTTGGCCAGAGTGCTTTCCAAAAACAAAACAGATAAACGTTAAAAACCATACACTAAGCAGACAAAGAAATAAATATAAATAACAGTAAAATAAATACATAAGTAAAATAGACAATAAAATATACAATGAATAAAACTAACAAAATAAAAAAGATTAAGAGCAACAGCTGACTAAAAACTGACTACAAACTGACTCTGTTACTACTCCTAAAAAGCCTTTGAAAAAAAGTGAGTTTTTAAAAGTGATTCAAACATTTCAAGTGTTGGGGCCAACCTAATATGGAAGGGCAGTTTATTCCATATTTTGGGGGCCACAACAGCAAAAGCAGTCTCGACATGGGGACAGCAAGGAGTGACTGGTCAGTTGAGCTGAAAGACCTTTGTGGAGTGTATCGATGTAGAAGGTCTGACAGGTAAGAAGGAGCCAGGCCATTTAAAACTTTAAAAGCAAACAATAAAATTTTGAAATGAATTCTAAAATGGACAGGCAACCAGTGTAAGGAGGCAAAAACAGGGGTAATGTGCTCACGCTTGCGTGTCCTTGTCAGCAGGTGAGCAGCAGCATTCTGGACCATTTGCAAGCGTGATTGTGAAGCCTGATCAATACCAATATAAAGCGCATTCCAATAATCAAGGCGAGTGGTCACAAATGCGTGTAAAACTCTCTCGAAGTCATAAAAAGAAATAAAAGGTTTGACTTTAGAAAGCTGCCTCAACTGAAAAAAGCTATTTCTCACCACTGTATTTATTTGTTTGTCCATTTTAAGAGCTGTGTCAATTTTTACTCCAAGGTTGGAAACAATTGGTTTCACACAGGAAGTGAGAGGACCCAAGTCAGATGGAGGCACACCAGGGCCACTCAGCCGAAATATAATGACCTCTGTCTTCTTTTCATTAAAATTAAAAAAATTCAGAGCCAGCCATGCTCTGATATCTTTAAGACATTCTAAAATAGGCCTGAGGGGGTTAGGGTCATTGTGTTTCAGGGGTAAATAAATTTGACAGTCGTCCGCATAAAAATGAAACGGAATTTCGTGTTTTTTAATAATATGGCCAAGGGGAAGTAAATACATGCTAAAAAGAAGGGGCCCAAGGATGGATCCTTGGGGTACACCACATGGGAGGGGGGCGGAAGATGAATAAAATTTACCAAGTGAGACAGAGAAACTTCTGTCAGACAGGTATGACTTGAACCACTCCAAGGCAGTGCCTCTAATTCCAACATGATGTTCTAGGCGAGAAATCAAAATGTTTTTGTAAACTGTTGCCACTCCTCCACCTCGGCCGTTGTCCTCGGTGAGTTAAAATAGGAACAGTCTGGCGGTAATAGTTCCGAGAAAGCGCTTAACTCACCGTCACTTAGCCAGGTTTCTGTCACACAGAGGAAATCCAGATTATGAGAAGTGAAGAAATCCTTTAATATGAACGTTTTATTTGCTAACGACCTAGCGTTACCCAGAGCAATCCGGGTAGGGTCCATCATTGCGGTGACAGCCATCCAAGGAATCTGTTTCACTGGATTCTGCGGATTTACTCCACCGCTGCGAAGACGAGGTAAGAGAAGGCGGGGACGCAGGATCTCCTCAGCCGAGCCGACAACAGGTGCCAGCCAGGTGGCAATAGGTTCCAGGAAGCGACGGGAGACGAAACGCCGGTGCAAAGGTCGGATTTCCGCCAGAGTGCATTGGGAAACTGTTCTGTCTCTGCCAGATGAAAAACCTAAATATGATTTCAATTTCACTAACAGCCCGCTGTGTTTTCTCCGATGTTTAAAGCGCTTCTTATGAGATGGGGTAGGGGTGTAGCCCAGGTGAGCCGGTACTCCAGAGAGTAGCGGAGGTGGGAAAAAGTCCTGTCCATCAGCGCTAGTCCTTACCAGTTTCTCTGTGGCAAGTCGAATATTTAAGAGAGTTTCATGATCGTAGATCAGTAGAGAGTCAGCGTTGTTCAATAAAAGTGACAAAAACAATATAAACACGCAGAGCAAAAGTGGATCCGACAGCCGTGGATGGCGAGCCATGCACTCCGGCGCCATCTTGGATGTAGGACTTGGCTCTACTTTACTTTACGTCTTAATGCATGCACCATCATCCAGGCAAGGAAATCCCAAAGGTTAATTTTGTTCATCTGCACGTAGTGTTGTCATTTAGATAAATGCTTCATCACTCATCCAAGTGACACTTGCTCCCACTGAAAACACTACGTCTACATGGACAGAATCAACCTTTTGGGATTCTGTACTGAACGTCCAGTTTCAGTCAGTCTCAATACAGAATACTGATATGACGATTTTGGTCTAGATTTTTTGGTTTAAATAATAAATAAAACGTTTTACTGTGCTGTAAATAACTTTTCAAACATTTTTTATGAGTATCATATAGACATATAGTACCTGATGTAACGTACCTTCATAACGGTCATTGTCTTGAAACAATTCAGCATTCTTCTTTAGCATCACATACGGGGCTTCCTATATACACAAACACATTGAAATGTTAACAATACAGTAGACTATGAATGTGTGTGAGTATAGATAGAAAGCACTTAAAATAGGTGCTTGTGTAAATGTGTGAATGAGTTCTCAGAGTAGTATCTTGCCCAAGGATGTTTGGCATGCAGCAGCCAGGAATCAACCAACAGTCTTCCAATTAGTAGATGAAAAGAAGACTAAATAATACAGAATACTGAAATAAAATGCAAGATTATTAAAAATGCTAACTAGAATCCCCTAAACATCTCCAAAACTCAAAACCCTGGATCTAAACCCATGGCACTGTTTGTAACACAGTGGACCATCTCTTAAATTAGATCTCACTTTGTTGTTGTGAGATCAATGCGAAATCTTGATGCTATGTAAAAAATGTACAGACCAATCTCAAAGTAACATTTTACAGCAAAACTCTTAGAGAAGATTGTCTTCAGCTTCTTAAAAACAACATCCTTGAAAAAAATCCAGTCAGCATCACAATACTATGACTGTGTATTAGGTTACAAATTACATCTTAAAAACTGCTAATATGGTGAATGTTCTATTCTTGCACTACCTCACATAAGTTCAGCATTTCATACAACAGGACATCAAATTCTGATAGAGAGGCTGCAGCACTGGGACGGTGTCTGGGACATCTCTGTGGTGGTTTAGACAAACTGTAAGTTTTTTGTTTCCATTGGTGACCGCAGGTCTCTGTAGTCTGGACTGAACTGTGGAGTCCCCCAGGGGACCTATCCTTTTTTCGATTATTTATGGTACCATTTGGTCACATTATACAGAGATACAACCGCATCTCTGCAGTCGATACAGTCGACTGTATCAAGAAGACTGAGATCCCTCAGCTCAGCTCCAACCAGAAATTAAGTAAATTAATTTAGTAACTCCAGCCTTTGTGGGTGTTATAATGTAACACAGAGCAAGTTTTATGTATGCACTTTCAATGGGCAATTTTCATTTAGTTGTTTACTTTTCATTTTTCTTTTTTTCCCCTCTTGTTGTGTCTGTGTAAATGTTAATGTTCCTGTTCCTAAAAATAAATAAAAATCAAGTGGAAAAAAATTTAAGAGACCTATTTTCCAGGCCACTATATCCTAGAAAATTTCCAAGTGCCATAGATCATTAGGGGGGAGTTACCATTAATGAATGTGGCTGTTGATGGTACCTTAGTCAGGGTTGCTAATTGTAAATCCTAACAATGCATTATCTAGCAGACTGTGAGGTAGTGAGGGCTGGGTGAATTCCCCACCACCGGCTTCAATCTGTTTCTGTTAACCTATTGTGGTAATACTCAGAGACTCAGACTTTTTGAACAGAGGGTCTGTCCAGACTTCTGTATAGGGGCAACTTGTAAAATCCACTGATGCAAGTGACCCTTCCAACCTTAAAAAATGCCCAACAGATAGAAGAAATCGTGCAAAATTCATGAAAATTCATGAAATTAAAGTCAGATAAAGCAAAAATTACTGGTTACTGGTTCAGAGATGCTGCATCCAGGTAACATTCTTCTCAAGGTCTTTTATCCATACATGTCAAATCACCCGTCAGAAACCGGGGGGTGATTTTTGATTCTAATTTCATCTTTGAGAAACACATAAGAAATGTTACCCAGGCTTGCTAATATCACCCAAGGATACATTCAATGCAGAGAATTTATTCCCTCCTTCTTTGTCTTATATTACCTTATCTCAGAGATTAAACGTGTAGTTATGCTTCTTCAAGTTGACAGATATTGGAGTTTTGCTGGTCTGGCCCACATAAGATCAAAGTCAGCTTTATGTGTGAATGAGCTTGACATCCCTGCTCTAGGCAGACCTCCTTTTGCCCTCAGGTCTGCTGGGGCTGACTAGATGCTGTACTAGCTACCGTCAGATGCAAATGTGCCCTCAAAGTGGATTTTAAGCAACCCCCAAAATTGTATCGTAAGAAAAGCAACTACTGAATGCTTTCGGCAGATTTCCATGTGTACATCTGTAATGTCTGTTTCATACAAGGCTTGAATAATCCGGTCCCATTTTATCTTAAAGACCTCATAGTACCATACTATTCCAATACAGCACTTCACTCTCAGACTGCTGATGTACTTGTGGTTCCTAGCGTATTTGAAAGTAGAATGCAAGGCAGAGCCTACAGCGTTCATGCCCCTCTTCTGTGGAACAAGATCCCAGTTTGGAATCAGGAGACAGACAGCCTCTTCAAAATTTCATGCTATTTTTTCACATTTTGGATCATCTTTACTACTGCACTATTATAGAATAGAAGACAGAAAACTTTTGACATTGACTGACATGGTCAATTGTAACTCTATTCATGGGTTACCAGTATCGTTGTAACGATGACAGTCTTATTTTCCATTCCCATTGTGTCATTTGGGTAAAGGTCTGACTTTGTCAGAACCATCTTATCCACCTCATTCCAATACCCAATCTGTGAACAGACACAAGTAAGGTTATGCAAATATCTTGCACATACAAGCTAGAAAATGTGTTCTAATGATATATATTATGGCAACCTGATGTTTTAGTTACCTTAACAGGTCCATTGTTCCTAAGCTCCATGATTGTCACCGAATAGTTGATCCTTTTCCCGTACTGGTCAAACTGTATATTCCCTGTTAAACCATCTACATGCACCTGAATACACATTATT